CTACACTTTAGAGATGTCTGCTGTGTGGAGCAAGCTGGTGGAGTTTGGAGCTCAGGGAAGATGAAGTCAGGGCAGGAGATACACATTTTGTAACTATGCGTTTATAGAGATATTTGAAGTTGTGGATGAGATCATGTGGAAGGATGCTGAGATCAGAAAGGAGAGGAGGACCAAATCTGAGCCCTGGGCTCATTTTTCCCTCAGCAAAGGGGATGGAGCAGGGGGTGCTAGTGATGTGGGTAGGCATGGGGAGGGGGTAGTTGAAGGTGGCATCAGAGAAGCCATGGGGGAAGAGGGCAGAGAGAGGAGGACAGGAGGCTGCTGAAGGAGTTCAGACCTTGATCAAGCTGTTTCAGAGCTGCAGTGGGGGAGAAATAGATCCGAGCTCCTAGAGATGAAGAAAGGGAAGGAAAAGGAGGCAGCCAGTTCCCCCAGGTATATGGGCTGGAGGTGCAGCAGCGGTAGGAGTTGGGTCAGGGAGAGTCCTTATAGGATACTGAGGCCTGTTTGAGGCTCCCTGCCCACATCTCTCAAGAGCATGTACACTCCATGTAGGCATTCCCTGGGTTGTCTTTCCCACTGGACCCCGGTCCACATGGGGGCAGGGTCTGTGACTACAGTGGTCACAGCTGTGTCCACTAGGAGCCCAGCATCCAGCTCCTAACGTGCTGGTGAATGTTGGTTAAGGGCCAATACTTGTAAAGCACTCAGGATGCTAACAAGTGAGTAATAAATACTCAGTAAAAGTGCATAACTGTTGGCTGCAGACCAGGAAGTAGCTGAAGACAGAGTGGTTCTGGAGGTCTTGCTCCAGATCCTGATGGATGGAGCAGCACCATGCAGGCCAGCTTTATGTGCCGGCATTGCAGCCAGCCCCTGAAACTGGACTGTGTCACCACCCAGGAATCCACTGCTCCATTACTGCCCCCAGCCCAGGTCAAACCAGGAGGGCAGTAGGAAGGGACTAACTCAGGAGAGGGGCCATTTATCAACTCCCATCAGAATGTGTCTAACACATTCATCCCCCCGCCTGGTTGATGTCTGCGGAAAGTGCCAGCAGCTTTACTCTGATTGGGAGGCGTCTGACACAGCCCCATGGAGAACATTAGCTAAAAAGTAAAATCACTGGAGGCTTTCTGACTTCCTGTCGGGGCAAACAGGTATGGATCACCACTGGGTGAGGGAGGCACAGACTCTGTTTTGGGCCAGCTGGACACTCAGCTCAACCTCCCTGAAGACAAGTGATAGAGCTGCAAACACTGTTTGGAGATCTCACAGCAAATGAATGAAGATGATGGTTAACAGCTACACATGGAGCTAAAGGAACTGGCCTTGGGGGAGGAGAGGCTGATTAGGAGCTGAAAGAAAAGAACTTCAAGATAGTGGCAGGATATCTTGAGTGTGTCCAGGCTGAGGCTGAGACTAGACCAGGAGAAGCTCAGTATCGCAACACACTGAACTTAAACAGGGACAGCAAACACACTGAACTTAAACAGTGACAGCTGGAAGGCGATGATGAGCTGAAGGGTGTAGAAAACCAGATGCCTTATATTCCTGGAGAATGAAACAAGCTGAATGCTGCTGGGAGCTGGATGGTGTTGCTACCAGTGCCCTGGCCAATAGGATGGGTTTGAAGTTTTAGAGGTTTTGATGTGTTCCCTGTGGAGTCTGAAGTCTCAGACAAATGTAAGGAGCTGCTGATACACTGGTCTGGGGTCTGTGTTTTATCTGGAACAGCAGGTTTCCTGGGCTGTGTGCCGCAGTTTGCAGAAGAGGCTGAGAAAGAGGACTTCCTTACAGGCTGGGTGTGAGAGGGCAAGATGGAAGACAGAGGAGACAGTGGTGGCTCCAATTCTGTCAAACCCAGTTCAGCTCTGAGGAACAGTGGATGGAAACTGATACTGTTGAATGTTAAGTAGGACCTTGCTTGGGTAGCCTCAAAGTTTCATAATAAATGAACTCCTTTTTTTCCTTATGAAGATACTTGCCTTAAAGACATAAGTTTTTTGTTTTGTTTGCAAAAAAAGTTCTAAATTCAGGTCATGTCAAACAGCACATGTTTACAGTACCAAAAAAAAAAAAAAAAAAACCACCCAGGAAAAGCCACTGTATTTAAAAATATCCATTGATAGTTTCCAGAACTAGAACAGGCCATGTATAGTGACCAGCCCATGTCATAATTTTGACTCGTAACCCCATGCCTTCCTTTTCAAACTCTTATCTTCAAAGTGTCCAGCTTAAGTGTGCTTGTATTTTTTTTTTTTTAAGCCTCAGTTGAATTGAGATTGGTGTGTTTTCACTGGATTTTATCTCTCTCAACTTCCTGTACTCAAAATATGAAATAGAAATTTTTATCTCCACTGAGATGATGAAATGTGTAAGCTACACAGTTGGATAATGTGAGAAAATGACAACATATAAGCTGTGTCTGGTCACCATATGGTGTGATTGAAAGTTTGTACTGTAACACATCTCTCTTGGTACTAGGTTCTAATACCGAATGGCCACTTGCTCTGTGTTAGAGATATGAAATGGTGTTGAATACTGTTTCCCACCATGAGTCACATGGCCATTTTGAGTCTTTTCCCCCTCCTCCTGCTGCTGCTGGGCCTCATCTCTCCCCACAGTGCTGCTCTGAACCTCCTTGCCTATTCCAGTTGTCTCCCTTCCAACTCTGCTCAGGGCTGGGTATGACTGTCGCCCACCCTTCATCAAGAGGAAGAGTGGGCTCAGTTCCTCCTCCTCCAGCGGGAACTCATTGGCTTGCAGCAGCGCTGGCAACCTCCTTGCCAGGGTCGTAGGGAGTATGGTTTGAAAGCTTGTTCATGCTGTCCCCACCCTAAAGATGCTCCCTAGACCTAGAGCCCTTTCCTTTTCTTCTAGTCCTTTTAAAAATTTTATATCAAGACATATATGTACAGTGAAGCTAGAAAACATGTTCAATTTGAAGGAAAGAACACGTGGCAGCCGATCTATTTCCCAGTGAAAGATTGCTGCTGTGAGCCGTGAGTTTCGTCAGGATTCGTGACCTCTGGAGGAGAGGATTTTGTCCTGGGGTCAGAGACAAGGCTTGACTACTTGGAGCTTTTTGTGTAGCAAAGTTTTATTAAAATATAGAGATAGGGAAAGCTTCTGACATAGACATCAGAAAGGGACAGAAAGAGTGCCTCCTTGCTAGTTTTTAGCAAGGTGTTTTATGTCTGTTCAGTTCAGTTGCTCAGTCGTGTCCGACTCTTTGCAACCCCATGAATCGCAGCACGCCAGGCCTCCCTGTCCATCACCAACTCCCGGAGTTTACTCAAACTCAAGTCTGTCGAGTCAGTGATGCCATCCAGCCATCTCATCCTCTGTCGTCCTCTTCTCCTCCTGCCCCCAATCCCTCCCAGCATCAAGGTCTTTTCCAGTGAGTCAGTTCCTCGAGTCAGGTGGCCAAAGTATTGGAGTTTCAGCTTCAGCATCAGTCCTTCAGTGAACACCCAGGACTGATCTCCTTTAGGATGGACTGGTTGGATCTCCTTGCAGTCCAAGGGACTCTCAAGAGTCTTCTCCAACACCATAGTTCAAAAGCATCACTTTTTCGGTGCTCAGCTTTACTCACAGTTCAACTCTCACATCCGTACATGACCACTGGAAAAAAGCCATTAATCAGATAATGAGAGACACCTCAAGGCTGAGGGGGTTTCATCAGGCCTCTCACAATATGCATTTTTGAGATGGGATGGCACAAGGTATGTCATCCCCTGGCCATAAAGCAATTGACAGAATACTGGTTTGTTGAGCCATTATCAGCCTAAGGTTTGAGGAAAGAAAAAGTTAGTCTCAGGTGGAACCATTTTGAAGAAAGGCAGATTCCAAAGTAAATACATAGTTTCATCAGCATAGCTTAGGAAAAGCATTTCCATAAGAAAAACACATTGGTTAGCTCAAGGCAGAACCAGGCAGAAGCCTCTTTTAACTTTGTGTAGAGAAGGAAAAAAAAAACATTTGTCACTTGCAGTTTATTTCCTCCTGCTGCTTGGGGACCCCTGGCCTTCCTGCCTGTTACCCTCTCATTCCCCCCTTTTCTTTTTTTTTTTTTAATTAAAAATTTTTTTTTTTCATTTATTTTTTTTATTAGTTGGAGGCTAATCACTTTACAATATTGTAGTGGGTTTTGTCATACATTGACATGAATCAGCCATGGATTTACATGTGTTCCCCATCCCTCCCTTTTCTTTTAGGAGAATTATGTTGCTTAGGGAAAGGGGCGACATTCTCATTCCATAACTGCTTCTGAGCTGACAAGGGGCATTGTCCCTAAATTTGTGAGGCAGCATATTGTCCTAACCCTCCTATTAAGGATCTCTGATCCAGAGGCCCCAAGTAGTAGTTGGAGGAAGCTGTGGCACTCATAGGAGTTTGGACAAACATTTATAACTTAAAAGCCTTCATGTGGTGGCTAGAAACAAATCCAGTTACACAGTTACAGATGCAGGGAGCAAACAGCAAAAACAACAATCAGAGTAACTACAATTAAGATAGTTTTCCACCATGGGCAACTAGTTAACATCTCCCAAAGTGAAGCAACTGAGGCTTCAGAGTACCCATAGTCTGAATCATCTTGTTCATGTATTTAGTAAAGTGAGTGACATTAGTGCTTATTGTAAATAATGGCACAAGTTCCTCCTTGTGTGACTATTAGAATATCTAAGGCCAATCTGTTGTTCAGCATTAAGGCTGAAATAGCTTTTCGAGAATCTTGTAAGGCTTGTTGAGTAAAGTTAGAGCATCAGCTCATAGCATAATGTCTGTAGTTCCCTTAGCAGGAACGAATATTGCAGCCAAATAACCATACCAATGAAATACAGACCTTGTCCAACGAGTTCTAAGGTGTGGCAAATTAGCAGGCTTCTCTGGAAGCTCTGAAAATATGAAAGTGAAAGTGAAGTCACTCAGTCCTGTCCGACTCTTTCCGACCCCATGGACTGTAGCCCACCAGGCTCTACCATCCATGGAAGTTTCTAGGCAAGAGTACTGGAGTGAGTTGCCATTTCCTTTTCCAGGGGATCTTCCCAACCGGGGATCAAACCCAGGTCTCCCGCATTGTAGGCAGACGCTTTACCGTCTGAGCCACCAGGGAATCCCCTGAAAATAGGAAGCCATGAGTAAAAGCTAGACCTAGGGTTCTTATCCCTATCCAGCCCGGGGGAAGCCACGCCCACAGGTAGGAGCCACATATCCATTAGGTCCCACTTGGAGCAAGTCAGTGTGGCTGAGGGGTCATCAGTGCCTGGCCAGGCAGAAGGAGGACCTGTAGTGGGGTTGGAAAACACAGGAATGACTACGTGCATATTTCCTGAGGCAAAAACCCTGATTGTTTCCAGTCATTATAGTTGTTGGCTAGCTTTTGGGGATGGCTCTATTTGTTCCCAGCATATGGGAGCACTAGACATTAGGTGTCCCTTTTCAGGAGTTAGCCATATGACCTTATCCCATATTTTATAAATATCAGGTAAAAATCCATCAGATCTAGACTGATTTGTCGTCTTATGTGCAGCAAAATCGTAATTAAACTAAGTTGAAACAATCCAAATTAAAAGTCACATTATGTCCGTAGTTAAGGTGCAAAGTATTAACACCAGTCCATTTTAGGATTGTTAGATGTCATCATATTAAGAAGAGGCATTGCACATGATTGTTGTTGAAAGTAGTCGCAGACTAGGAGAAAGTCATTTCTTTGAAGTGGAGATGCCCACCACAGGAAGTCTTCCGCTGATGAGGAGGGGCGCACTCTGCAGATCCAGCAATTAGACTGATTGTGGAATGTGGTTTAGGAATGAGCCCAGGACAGGAAGGCATTATCTGGAGAGTTAAACAGCAGGATTTTGGAGTCAGCAGAAGCAGACCCATATATAGATTATCAGGCCCATTTGAAAAGTGAAAAAGTAAAAGCATAGAGAATAAAGATAGAATGACTGGCTTAGCCTGAGGGGTCAGGATGCCACTTTTTAACTCAAGTGTGGTGCACCCACGAATAAGTTCCTGGCACCTTGACAGTTGTGGGAGAAGAAAGAATAACCTGGTAAGGGCCTTCCCAGAGGGCCTCAAGAGATGGCCCCCCAGGTCCCAAAGTCTTTATCAGGACCTTGGTTCCTGGCTTAAACCATGGCTTGTTTGACTCAAAGCCTGGGTTATGCATCACCTCCCAGAATTCTTGTGATGCCTGTTGAAAAGCTGAAATCTGCCACCAACTTTAAACTTAGTTATTGGTTCTTCTAACAACAATGACTGACAGACAAACTCTGACCCTGTGGGCAAGCTCAAAGCAGGAGCTTTCAGGAGAGCAGTTTGTAGAGCCTTAAAAGCCTTTTGAGTATCTGGAGACCAAACCAGTTTGTCAGTTTGGTCTTGTTGAGTTTCAGTTATAAGTTTATATAAAGGCCAGGCAAGTTCCCCATAAGCTGGAATCCAAATGCAGGAGTAGCCTGTGATGCCCCCAAATCCTCTCAGATGTCTTAAAGCCATATGTACGGGATGATTTAGTATAGGCTCAATTCTCTCAGGGCCTATGGCCCTCATTCCTTTGGATATGATTAGGCCCAGGTATTTAACAGATTGTTGACAAAGCTGAGCCTTTTCCTTGATGCCTTATAGCCACAGCCAGCCAAAAGGTTTAGGAAGCCTTTTGAGGCTTGTGAGCAAGCTTCCTCTGTCTCAGAACAGAGCAGAATATCATCTACATATTGTAACACCAGTAGCCCCACTGCCTTGGGGCTATTAAAGTTTTGTAGGTTCTGTGACAAACTCTGTCGAATAAGTGAGGGCTGTCATGAAACCCCTGGGGCAAAACTGTCCAGGTTAACTGAGAAGCTGGCTGGGTAGGGTCTTCAAAGGCAAATAAAAATAGACTTTCCTCTGCTAATGGTATAGAGTTGGAAGCATCTTTTGAATCAATTACTGAAAAATATTTGGCTCTTCAGGAATTTCAGACAATAGAGTACAAGGATTAGGCACCATGGGGTGTAAAGGATCCACAGCCTCATTTATTATTCATAAATCTTGAACTAGTCACCATTTATCATTTGACTTTTTCACACCCAAAGTAGGAGTGTTGCGTGGACTGTTATAGGGAATTAATAGCCCCTGCTCCTTTAAATTTTCAATGATATGTTTTAACCCTTCCTTAACCTCAGGTTTTAGAGGATACTGCTTTTGATGTGGAAAAAAGTGCAGGTCTTTTAGCTTGACAGTGATAGGAACAGCATTTTATGCTCGACCCACAGTTTTTCCATCAGCCACACTCTAGGATTTATATTTTGTTCAATTAATGGGGGAGAAAAAAAGGGCTCCATATTCATGAAAACAGGCATGGAGCTTGCTCAGTATGCTGCTGCTGCTGCTAAGTCGCTTCAGTCATGTCTGACTCTGTGCGACCCCATAGACGGAAGCCCACCAGGCTCCCCTGGGATTCTCCAGGCAAGAACACTGGAGTGGGTTGCCATTTCTTTCTCCAATGCATGAAAGTGAAAAGTGAAAGTGAAGTTGCTCAGTTGTGTCCGACTCTTAGCGACCCCATGGACTGCAGCCTCAGGCTCCTCCATCCATGGGATTTTCTAGGCAGGAGTACTGGAGTGGGGTGCCATTGCCTTCTCCAGGCACAATCAGAAACTCATGTGAAAACAGCACAGAATCCTAGTTGCAGCTTAGAGGACAACTGAGATAATAACGTTTGGCTTGTCCAGACATTGCAGTTACAGTAGTGGATTGGGAGAAAGTGGACCAGGGGCTTCAGTAAGCACAGAGTAAGTTGCCCTGGTGTCCAAAAGAAAATCGACTGATTAGACCCCTACAGTTATTAATACCTGGGGTTTCTTAGGTGTAATTAGGATGGGAGCTTTTGTGGGGACCCCTGGGCACCTTTAGTCCTGATTGTCTTGAGAGTCCAACCCCTGGGTCTCTCCTCCAGTGTGGTCCTTTGCAGATTGGACATTAGACCTGAGGGCAACTTAGAAGCCTGAGGGCAATCCTACTTGAGGTGCCCCTCTTCACAGTAAACGCAAATCTGTCCCTTTCCACCTGGGTCCCTCTGGGCACTTTTCTCAGGCTCTCTCAAAATGGTTCTGGCCACCATTATTAGGGCTTCAGTCTGTTCCTTGGTCTTTTTCTGCCTTTCCTTCCACTCCTCATATTCCTTGCCATAATAAACTGTCTAAGCCAGTTGTAACAGATTATCTAAAGACTGATTTGGTCCATACGCCTGTTTTAGTAGCTTATAGTGGATATTAGGAGCTGACTGAGTGAGAATCTATCCTTTAAGATCATTCTTCACTCTTCACTTTTGGGATCAATCTCAGTGAATCTGTGAAGGGCGTCTCACACTAGGAATTTACTGGGTGCTTCCTTCTTTTCCTGTTCTATGTTTGCCAGTTTGGCATAGTTTAAAGTCTTAGCCTATACTCGCCTGAGTCCTTCAAGAATACATCTGACAAAATGACTCTGATTCCATCTTCCTTTAGCTGTGTTATAGTCCCAGTCTGGTTCTTTAGTTGAGACCACTGGATTCCCAGTAGGGAGGGCAGCTATCTTGTCCTCCCTCTTTCCTGCTGATTCATTGCCAAGTCATTCATCTCTATAGGCAATAGCTTTCTCCAAAACTGGAGTTTTTGAGTCAGGAGTTAGCATTTGCCCCAGGATATGACTGTGTGGATCACAGTAAACTGTGGGAAATTCTGAAAGAGATGGGAATACCAGACTTCCTGACCTGCCTCTTGAGAAATCTGTATGCAGGTCAGGAAGCAACAGTTAGAACTGGACATGGAACAACAGACTGGTTCCAAATAAGAAAAGGAGCATGTCAAAGCTGTAAATTGTCACCTTGCTTATTTAACTTACATGCAGAGTTCAGTTCAGTTCAGGTCAGTCGCTCAGTCGTGTCTGACTCTTTGCAACCCCACGAACCGCAGCACGCCAGGCCTCCCTGTCCACCACCAATTCCCAGAGTCCACCCAAACTCATGTCCGTTGTGTTGGTGATGCCATCCAGCCATATCACCCTCTGTTGTCCCCTTCTCCTCCTGCCCTCAATCTTTCCCAGCATCAGGGTCTTTTCCAATGAGTCAGCTCTTCGCATCAGGTGGCCAAAGTATCGGAGTTTTAGCTTCAATATCAGTCCCTCCAATGAACACCCAGGACTGATCTCCTTTAGGATGGACTGGTTGGATCTCCTTGTAGTCCAAGGGGCTCTCAAGAGTCTTCTCCAACACCACAGTTCAAAAGCATCACTTCTTTGGTGCTCAGCTTTCTTTATAGTCCAAATCTCACCTCCATACATGACCACTGGAAAAACCATAGCCTTGACTAGACTGACCTTTTCGGCAAAGTAACGTCTCTGCTTTTTAATATGCCGTCTAGGTTGCTCATAACTTTCCTTCCAAGGAGTAAGCGTCTTTTAATTTCATGGCTGCGGTCACCATCTGCAGTGATTTTGGAGCCCAGAAAAATAAACTCTGACACTATTTCCACTGTTTGCCCATCTATTTGCCATGAAGTGATGGGACCAGATGCCATGATCTTAGTTTTCTGAATGTTGAGCTTTAAGCTAACTTTTCCACTCTCCTGTTTCACTTTCATCAAGAGGCTCTTTAGTTCTTCACTTTCTGCCATAAGGGTGGTGTCATCTGCATATCTGAGGTTACTTGTATTTCTCCCGGCAATCTTGATTCCAGCTTGTGCTTCCTCCAGCCCAGCATTTCTCATGATGTACTCTACATATAAATTAAATAAGCAGGGTGACAATATACAGCCTTGACGAACTCCTTTTCCTATTTGGAACCAGTCTGTTGTTCCATGTCCAGTTCTAACTGTTGCTTCTTGACATCATGAGAAACACTGGGCTGGATGAAGCACAAACTGGAATCCAGATTGCCAGGAGAAATATCAATTACCTCAGAATGCAGATGACACCACCCTTATGGCAGAAAGTGAAGAAGAACTAAAGAGCCTCTTGATGAAAGTGAAAGAGGAGAGTGGAAAAGTTAGCTTAAAGCTCAACATTCAGAAAACTAAGATCATGGCATCTGGTCCCATCACTTCATGGCAAATAGATGGGGAAACAGTGGCTGATTTTATTTTTCTGAGCTCCAAAATCACTGCAGATGGTGATTGCAGCCACGAAATTAAAAGACACTTACTCCTTAGAAGGAAAGTTGTGACCAACCTAGACAGCATATTAAAAAGCAGAGACATTACTTTGCCAACAAAGGTCCGTCTAGTTAAGGCTGTGATTTTTCCAGTAGTCAGGAATGGATGCTGAGCACCAAAGAAGTGATGCTTTTGAACTATGGTGTTGGAGA